TGATTAATTTTGTTTTTTTTTTTTTGTGTTTACCCCAGGCTTTGTATTTTTCTCTCTCTGTTACTTAGGAAGACAATCCAGTGGAAATGTGTTACCACAATGCCTTTGTTTCTATTTTAAGCTGGGAAAATCCAGCAGAGGCCAGAACAGTTGCTCGTGGGTAATTCTGGTGAGATGCAGCAGGGGGGAACCGAGGCACTAGATTTTCAGTGCTTGATTTGGGGGTGTCTGGGGATCTGTTTGTTCTAAATTCATTCTCAGTACTCAGTGCCCTGATTCTGAAGGCTTTGAAAAGTCTTAGGAAAAACTGGAAGTTTTAGGAAAAACTCTGTGAGAGAGAGAAAGCCTTGGTAGGGAAAAGCCCAAACAGCACAGAGAAGACACAACACTCCAACAACTGTGTTTGTCTACCAAACACAGCTAAATCCTTCTTTTCCTGCTGCAGGAATTGGAGTATTTCATGTTTGGGAAATTCGTGAGCTCTGTTGTAGGTTAACATAAATGTTAGAGATGATACAACTTTTATTAATGCTTTGATGAATTTTTAATTTTTTTATTAATGCTTTTATTAAATTTTTAACTAATGTTTTAGTCACTTCCCCAAATCTTTTGGAAAAAGAGAGTGGGTGGGCAGTGTAGGCTCCTTGGGTTTTCTGAAGACTGTAAAAATTAGATGGGAAGCAACACTTTGAAGTGACACCTCCAGACTCAGAGCTTCTTTTCCCTGTTTTTTTTAAAACATATGATTTTTATATGCTTTGAAGAGGACAGTTGAATCCCTCTGATATCAGTTTTCAAGAACCTCCCCATGGTCCGTGGGAACTTGCTGAGTTTCTGTGTGGATCAACTCATCTCACCTGCTCTCAGCTCCATCCCCTCCCCGATGCCACTCCAGGCTGGGATATGGCAGCAGCTGGAAATGGTTCTTTCACTCCAGGAGAGGTTTAAACAAATCTCACCTTCATTTCAATACTATCAGCTGAAGCTGCAGACCCAGCAGCCTGGCAGGAGGGAGTTGTCTCCCTATGTTATGCCATCCCTCAGGACCATCCTGAGGTTGCCAAGTTACAGCAGAGATTTCCTATGAACCAGGCAGAGCTGAAATTAGGTTGGGTTCACTTTTAAAGAGATCCAGCTATGGCAATTTTATAATTGAGCCATTTTGTTCTGCTCTCAATCAGCTTCAAAAGGAAGGACAAATTGCTCAGGTTGCAGTTTAAAATCTGACAATAATAAGTAAACATTAGAGCCTGGCTGGATCTGCTCCCAATCCCGTGTAATAACTTCCTTGGAAGGGTGGTTTGAGATACACAGGAAGGCCTGGGCCTGAGGACTTGATTTTGTTCTCACAAGTCCTGTGATCTGCAATCTCTCACTGTATATCAGAGGGTGCTTGGCAGCTTCTCATGACTAACCATGAGCATCAGCCCATCCCTCAGGTGAGAGGAGCAGGGAGCGTGGCCAGGCTGAGCTGAGGCACCAGTGCATGGCCATCCACGTTCCATTAATCATAGGGTTGAGAAAAAGTTGCAGATTCCTCATTCCAGGTGTGCAGTAGCACCAGGGTTTCAGTTCCACATTCAGATCTCATGAGATCTCTCTTACCCTTCCCGTAGAGTGATGTTCTTCCATTGCAGGTGTTGCTCCCGTGTTTCCTGAAAAAATAGGCTGGAGGAGAGTCACTGGGTGGAATTTGGAGCTTGGTTGGGAAAACTGTTGTAGAGAGATGAGAGCGACAGAGAAGGGTCAGTGCAGAAAGGTCTCTGCTCTCAGGAACAGAGGCAGGACATCACTGCATTCCTACGGCACTTTGCTGACACATCCCTAAGAGTCCCTTTGCTCTTCCATGTTTAGAGCTCCAAGGATGGGGTTTGGTATTTAGTAACACTTTAGCACCTTCTGAGGATCTCAAAGCAGATGTTAATTAAGCTCCCAAGCACTTTTGGGAAGGGAGTAAACAGACCAATTGCCACTTTATAGGAAGGAAATGACTGGCCAAGGTCATCCACTGAAGCTGAGCTGGGAATAACATGGAGGTGATAAAACAGGGATGACACAGTTGCCTTTTCCAAAGAGACATGGCCTGAAATAAGAGCTTACCTGAACTTCTACTCAAATTTGAGGGAAAAAAATGTGCAAAACAATCGGTAAGAATTTTCCCATTTACACCACAAAATCTCTTATACGTTTTCCAGCCCTAAATCTGATCCCTCTCACTTCATCCGAGATAAGGCCTGTGCTTGATGAATGAACACAGTAGATATTGTACTCCTGGTAGGAGGCTTTGATTGGTAATGTTATTTTACTCTTCTAGCCTGATTTCCTAAGACAAGATAACGTTAATTCTAACATGTTTTCTGTAGCTGAGTATTAGCCTTATTTCCTCATCACCTTTGCTAGGACCAAAAGTCCATGCTGGAAATAAAAACCAGAGCAACCTCTGCCCCATTCTGGGAACTGTTTCCTCGGGATGGAAGTAGCTCAGTAGTTACTTTCCAGGGTTGTGGGACCTACCACAACAAGTCATTCCACCGAGAAATTGAGAGCAGGCACAGCCACTACCATTCTCATTATTTTATCTCTCTCATTTGTCATTCAAACACCCCTGTCCACTTTCACCATCTAAAAGAAATGATAATTGAAATCATGTTCGTGTGTTCTGAGGCAAGAGCGACTCCATGATCATTTGGCTCTATCCAGGCTGTAACAAAGGCTGCCACAGATGCTTATTCCACCTTTTTTTTTCTGCACAAAGAAATAAAGAGCAGTTGCACAAATGACATGTATGTCAATCTTTAGGTCACAATACTTCCTGCAGTTGTATCCCAAGTAGGAAACATCAAGCCAAAGGCATTTAAGAATTAACAGTCTGTACCCACGACAGGAAATGGAGTTTATAAAACAGGTGGATGAAAACCAGTATTCACTTGCATCACATTAAAGCAAATCCATTTATATTTTATTTCCTATACACTGCCTTGATGTGCATTTTTACGATAATCCAGCTCTGCAGTTCCTGTAGGATTTGGAATATTTGCAGGTGGGTTGGTATGGCCTGGTAGGACTTCAAGGCCAGGTTGAACTGGGCTTGGAGCAATCTGGTCTAGTGGAAGGTGTTCCTGCCCATGGCAGGGGGTGGAACTGGATGGGCTTTAAGGTCCCTTCCAACCCAAACCATTCTCTGATTCCATATTGTGATTCTGTGACCTTCCATGAAAGAAATGACCCATCACAGGAGAAAAGGGAGACACTGTCCAGAAAATTCTGTGCTACGCCAGCCAAGGGTTGTCTTTCTACCCTGAATCCACACACAGGTCATAGGACTCTTTTGTAATGTCATAAGTTGTACATAAATCCAGGGAAAAGTTAGTGCCTGGTGCTCCAGGCAGTGGCAGTTCCCTGGATTTTTGTCCAACTGTTCCCCTATATCAGTATTGCCATCCTGGGTGCAGATTAACCGTGATTGAAACAACGCCCATTGGAAGCCTTAAAACCTTAACCACCAGTTTTACTTCTAAAATAAAGTAAACTGCCAAAAGTTCTGATAAAAGTGACAATTTATATTTTTAAGTAGTACGTCCGGAATTTTCCTATAGCTGTAGACAAAGGAATTCTTACCCAGATAAGTATAAGAGCACCAATAAATTTAAGGTAGCTTATGCAAGTTAGGCACTAATGAATGTCATCTTCTGTTTTGTCATGAAAAAAGATCTTTCTGCTGCTAAAGGAGACTGATTTAGATTATGAATAGCTGTAGTGATTTGCAAAAATGGCTCCAGAGAGATAGACTGAGATTCCATACACTCATGGCACTTGAGGTTTCTGCCCTTTTTGTTGAAAATTAATTTGTCCTGTGGGTTATTGGATTCTAGCTCAGCCAATGTATATTGCTCAGTCATCACAAATTTACTTAAAATTTAGTGTAGCTGAAGTTCATTCAACAAGACAAAAGTCCACACTTGAAAGCTTCTAAAAATCTTTTTAAAAAACTGGCTGTTGCTGTAATTGAAAGCACTGGGGTTGAGGTGGATTTACAAAGTGTTTTGCAGATGTCAATAAATGGTTCATTACAATAGAGAGACTCTCCAGTTTCCCCTTCAGATGGTGAAAACAAATGGGTGGTTTCTGTCCCCTTGGTGCAGGGGGCTTTTAGTGCCTTTGCCCCACTCTTACATTCCTAAAATGAGAAATGCCTGGGAACACATACTGCAGCTTCCTACACTATTTCTTTAATTTGACACATATTCTTTTTTATATAATAGAGAGAGAAACTCTGGTTATAAAATGTCAAATGCCTCCCCTTTCATACCATTTCTTTCCTTTCTTTGTTCACTTCCATTTTTCCCCCCTTTCTTTTCTTTTTTTTTTGCCTTTGATGTATGAGTAGAAATGTCATTTGTATTCTTGGAATCCCCATCTGAGTTTTTACTCTCACTTTTTAGGATTAAACATTGCCTTTGCTTGTACATTTGATGTAACAAATAGGTTAAGGTTAAAAAAAAAATTAATTCTGTTCAAATCAGCTTCTTGTTTAAATTAAAAGGCTGTAACTAATTTGATCGATGGATCCAAGTCATCTGTTTGCCCCACTTGGTGAATCTGTGGAATAGGGACTGGGGGTAAAGGTTTTCAGACACAAAACCATACAGAGGTAACTGGGGTGCAACACCCACGTGGGCGAGGATATAAAGAGGGTGATTAAAGAATAATCAGATATTAAACACTCACAGCAAAGTGGCTTTTCATTAACTATAGAGATAAAAATCTCAATGAGGAATAATTCTCCTTATTTTAAGCTTTATCAAAAACAGTTTCATGTCTCTTTTAAATTATGGGGATTTTAAAAAAGAAAAATATAAAGGCAACTAAACCTGGTGGCACATGGGAAAAACTCATTTTGTGCACAGCCCCCATGGACAGTTCCCAAGCAGTGAGCCTATAAACACTTTCTTTGTGTTCCTTCTACCAGGAATTATGGATTTAAAAAGACAAACAAGGACTTAAAATTCAGTTTAAATTTAATAATAAAACCACTTCATACACATCTCAGTAAAATAGGAGAAAATGGGAATAAAAATCCTCACAGTCAAAATCTCTGTTCAGGTGGCTATTTTTTATATTTCATTTTTTTTCACTGGCTCTAGTGATAGATCTGAACACAAGTGATCAAGTTTAAGCTCTGAGACTCTCATCTGTTTGCTTGATACACAAGGCTTATACAATTGCAGGAAATGAAATACAGCGAGATAACCAAATCATGACACAATGGACTGGAAATTTTAGATTAATAAACCTCTTTCGGAAGAGAACTAAATAACTTTTACAGTTTTATCTGTGGCTATTTGTTTCTTTGAAGATTTATGGTCCTTGCAACAGATATGCATCTTATCCTTCACTCTTCAGATTAAAGGCAGATGATTTTAAACAGGCTCCTGACTGGCATGAGCTGGAATTGCAGATGATTTTCCTTTAAAAAAATGCTAAAAGTGAACTTGCAAGTCAAATGAGAATATCATCGCATATGAGGGGCTGAGGATAAAATCTACATCCAGCTAAACAAGATCTAATCCTTATTATCACAACCAGGGATCCTCAGGCAGAGCTTTACCAGCCACGTGCAAACCCTTAACGAGGAATTACAACTTTTCCTGCTGCTGCTGCTTTAATTGATTGATGCTAAAAGTTTAGAAACTCAAATCTAAGGCGCTCTCACAAAGCTCCTTTAACCAAGCCTTCCCTTTGAAAGCGGGCTCCTCAATTGGAACTGGCAGCCCACATTTTTAGGTTTCAAGCAGCTCTGTCATTCCAGGAGGAATGTGTCTGCCACTTCACACGATAGCCTGGGCTGAAAGACATGTACTTTGAATCAGAGAATCAATAGAACACTTAATGGACAATTAGGAGAACAGCTGTAGGACTGTCAAAGGCCCATCTGTACAGGGCTCCAGAGCCTGGGCTGGACAGCGAGCTCAGCTCAGCGCCCCGGGGGCACAGCCCGGCCCCCTCCCACCCACAGCTCCTGCTGAGAAAGTATTCCTGTTCCATTACAAATTTTAACACGTGTAGAAAATTATGGAAATTGCTCGGGCCATTTGTCAACTTATATCATGTGAATTGATCAATAAATTTCGCCACTTTGTTGTTAATGTAGATAAATTTTGGCATTTAATTAAGCCACAGCGAAAACGCGGCCACTTTTAATTTCGGCAGATGCTGCCTTTTCATCTGTAATACAGGGGTACATTGGCAAATACAATCCAGCTAAATATTTATAGACAATATGACAATTCCTAAAAGAGTTATCATCAATGATCTTGGTTCTGAAACAATTAGCATTGTTTGAAGGAGCTCGTGTGGAAAGCTGGAATAAATTCTGAGCAGCAGATGAAGTTCTGGCTATGCAGGTACATTTAATACATAAAGCAAATAAATCTACTTGTTATAAACACTTATGCCCACACTGATTATTACAGGAATACTGTTCTACAGCATATATGGGCACAAACATGGAAATATATGTGCACCAACACAGAAATTCTGATAAGCCAAGGTACAAATTCCCACATCCATAAATATTTGTGCTCTCCACATAACATGTTTACAGATATCTCTAAATTAGACTCGTATAGTGATATTATCTTTTTTCCAAAAATATAATGAGAGAGACTGAGCTCAGGAAGTCACATCATGGAAGGAAACATTTCACATATAAACACTTTTTGTAGGAGCACTAAGAGTTGACAAAAGCATTGCCGTTCATAACTATAAATGTATTTTACTTTTTAAAATAACAACTAAATTTCTAAACCTCGACAGTCAGGGATCAGCCTTTAAACTTCCAGATATTTTTTAAGCACACACAGGTTTGGCCAGACAATAAGCAACATAAATGAACATCTTAGGCTTTCTATATGGCCTTAGGGAGCCTGGGATGAAATCCTGCCTCTGACAGCCAGAGGCCCCAGACACAGCACTCAGCAGCAAGACTTGACATGATGAACTGCTGAGGCTCATCTGAGTGGGGAGGGGGAGTGGGCCTGGTGCTGATATTTCCAGTGCCCTGGGGGTAGGAAAAGCCTTGAAATCCCACTGCTGCTTCCGCTATAATCCCCTGACCGAGCAGGCTCCCGCCCTGACCTGCAGTTTTTTGCTACAGAACTTGTTTATCATTTAGAGGACACTGGTGCTGCAGCAGGAACTTGTGTAGGGAGAAACCAGGGAACAGGGAAATCAGTGGTGCTCACACCCTCTGATCCCCCTGAAGGACAGTTCAGCATCTTCCCACACTGCCACAATCCCATATTCCAGCACCAGGCAGAGGGCAGACATCCAGCACCCCTGTAGGTAAAATTCCTTTTGTTTGACTCCATTGTGGATTTCTCTGTTTTCACTGCTGGGTAAAATCATCCAATTTGACAAGAAGAAAAAAAAAAAAAAGAGAGCACTCAGACACACCAATCATTTTTTAAAGTGGAGGGTCTGGGTTTGTGGATTTGTCACTACTGCAGCGTGGTTTGTTTTCAGGTTTTCAGAGAAACTGGTCAGCAGATTTCCTGAAGTTGCTGGGGAGTGCAGGGCAGAAGACTGGAATACTGTTCAGACTGAGACTAACTGGCTTTTAGCCGAGAATTTCCAATTCACAGAGAGAGAACAGGGAATCCAAATGCAGTAACTGTGTGGTATTTGAAACACAGGGAAATCTGGACAGGACAGAATATACTCCATAAATACAGAACATTCTAACCAAATCTTGAGTCATTGAAATTATCTCATTGGCCTTTCCTCTCAAACAGAAAGCTTTGTCTCAGCTTGCCAAGGCTTTTTTTGCATTTCACAGCATTGCTTTTACTCTTCCGGAACTGGATCAACACGAGTTCATCAGTGCATGTCCCAGATTCCTGTTCCTGATGGCACCACGATGCAGGACCCCCTCTGGCTCAGGGAAAGGTTTCATGTCCAGGCTCTCAGTGCACAGGGATGGGCTCTCTGTGCCCAGCTTGCCTGCACCGAGATGGGCTCTTCTTACAGGGATACACTCCCCAGACCCCCACCAAAGAGCCTGTGCATAGGTACCTACAAGCACCTGTACACCAGGAGGAGATCCAGAGGATGGTGATGGGTCTCTGCAGCTTCATCCCACAAGCTGTAACTTCTCCATGACCTGATGTGGAGAGAGGCCTGTGGAGATGGTCTGTGTGAGATAATTTTTTATCTTTTCTTGTGGTCCATGCATCTAATGACATGTGTTTTTTTCTGCTGAAATTAGAAGAAATTTGGACAAAAAGCAAACTTAAAGGTCTAAAAAATTCTCCCTGTCATCTGCTGCAGTTCAATGTCACGTGCTCCTGTAGTAGGTTAGTGGTGACCCCCAGTGCTGAGCTGTTGTGACACTCACCCTCTGTCCCCATTTCTGCAGAGCATGAAAGGACCCATCCCAATCCCTGGCACAGCACCAAGCCCCTGAACACCTACCTGGCAACCACAGATCCATCATGGAAGTTGGCCTTGCTGTAGTGTCCTCAGGGTTGAGGTGGAAAATGCTTGGCAGTTTGAGGCAGCAGCGCTTGTTTCTGATGCAATATTATGGAATATTTATTAAGTTCTTCATGGTGAAGACCTAAACTCTGGATAGGAGGGGATCACACCACGAGGAGCAACAAAAAAGTCTATTAAACAATCTTTGTTTTTTAAAAAGTCTCAGTAACAATGACCCCCATTTGTCTGTTTGACCAGTGGAGCATTTTTGTGGGAGATCCCTATTTATCTGATTTATTAGAAATGCTCCATTGAGACAGAAAGCATTTTTCTAATAAACCTAGAGGTTAGCACCATTGTTTGCAGTACAGCTGACCCTTGGATTTGCTGTAAAACCAGAATCATTAGAAATGCTCCATGGGTTATATTGGAGCATTTCTAATGAAACAGAGGGTCAGCTCTATTGAAATAATGTAAAATACCCAGATTCATGAGAAAAACTCCATTGAAATGCACGGAGCGTTTCTAATAAATCCAAATTTTAGTGGAGCTCAACCCTGAATCCATTAAAACCTTATGAAAAAATAGTTCCTGAGCATGCACCTGAAGGACTTTTTTTCTGTGTTAATCTCTCATTTATTTTAAAATGCGTTGTAAAAATAGCAAAAGGCATCAGTGAAAATTTGTTATTTAAAGTCTGCCATTCCCTCTCCTTACACAGGAGCAGAGCCACTGCTGGCACCAGGACACAGCCCTGGAAACACAGAACCTCAAGCAGCTTCCAGGAAGAGGGATGAGGAATAACAGACAACCCTGGGTTTACTGCAGTCTGTCCCACATCAGGCACATTCCAAGTGGGAATAAGTGTTGTGAGAGTTACAGAGCTCCAGCATGGAAGTGTCCAGAGAGGAGCTGCTTTTTGAGAGCTCCTGGGAATCTCAGTCTTTTCTCAGTGTGGAATTGCAGGAGAGATCCTGGTTTTCTCCACAGCCACTTCACTGGGTCTGGAGCATTTCTGGTGTTAATTCCCACAAGGTTGTTTCCTGGGAGCCTGAAGTGTCTTTACTCATAGTTGTAGTAGAGGATCTCTCCATGGTTTAGGAAGGAGCATCATAACTAAAAGCCTCACTAGGAGATACAGGTGTGATGCACTTTGGGCACATGTCCTGGGATGAGGTCCCAGGCACGTTGAGGCTTCCACAGTTTATAGGTGTAATGTCTGATGGAGAGATTACCTTGTCTGCACATAAGAGAAACCACAGCTTGCTTTCCCCTGCAAGTCACATATTCTTAATTTAAAATCACAAGGCCAACAATAGAATGAGATTTTTTTATTACCACCGAGCTCAATTAGCTTTCTGTACCATTTTTACTGGACAACACTATTCAAAGCCTGGTGGGCTTCCAAGTTTACTTTAAGACAGATTTAATCTTCTAAAAGTATGTCCTAAAGATGAGATGGTTTAATGCAGTGTTGGGCTTTGTCCTTGCCACAGAGCTAAATCACACACCCATGGCAGGGTACACCTTTAACCCACAACATGACAAGGGAGTTGAATGTTGGCAGATTTATTTTAAGGGCTTGCACGAGTCAGCCCCTCACTGCCTCCCTTGGATGGTCAAACCCCACCTCAGAGCAGAGTTGAAGAGAATTTTGTCAGTTTAGCAGATAAACTCCTTGTGAAAGTTGCTGTGGCAAGTTTCCAAGATGATGATAGTGATGATGACGATGACTCTCACTTTTCTCTTTTTTCTAAGCTTATACTTTATTTTTGCACCTCTTACCTTCCACCTGCTGTACAGGCACAGCACTGCATGTACCAGCCAGGTACAGCTCTGGGGAAGAGTCTGGAGAAGAGTTTGGATCAGCGACCTTCTGACAGTCCCCTGCCCTCAGGTAACACATCCCAAAAACTCTGAAATCAAAGGCCAAAGGGATGACTGGATTTATGGGCTCAGCCAGTAGACCCTGAGTGAGTGGGTTCCTAAACCTGCTGCAGGAGGTGAAAGAGCTGGATTGATTCAGCCAGGATTGATCAGAGCAATGTTATGTTGGGCTGTTTCTGGCTGATGATCGTGATGATCATCTGAAGGCAGGGTAGAGGAAACACCTGGAGGTTTGGACATTACTCTGTAAGAGAAGCAGCAGCATTTGAACTGTAAAACTCTCCCAGCAGCACCAAGAGTGGGAACTGAACTGAGTCCTGAGCCCTCGGGGGACCTGGGGACATGGGTGGGCTTGGCAATGCCGGGGGAATGGTTGGACTTGAAGGTCTTGAAGTGTCTTTCCAACCCAAAAGATTCCATAATTCTATGGTTCTAATCCATGGAGCTCTGTAGCTCAGGTCTCAGCTTCAAAGACATTGTAAGAAGCTTTTTTTCAGCTCAAGGGCACTGAAAACCAGCAAACCAGTTTTGGACAAAGGAGCTGTGTGACCCTGACCCTCCCATCCTGCATGTCCCAGGGGCTGCCACAGCAGGGAGTTGTGAGCAGGACTGCAAAGTCCTCAAGCACCTTCCTCCTTTTGCAGCTTTACAGACAACCTGAAATGTGCTTCAGAATAGTTTGCTTAAAATTAGGCATGGGAAGACAATACATTCACCACATCCCCTTACAAGGCTGTTCAAGGAACTGGGCTTGTGTGTGTCGTAGGGTTTTATAGCAGCATTCTGTCTCCTGCTTTCAGCAAGCAGCAGAGGAGCTGGCTCACCTCACCTCTGTTTATTTTATGAATGCACACACTCAGCTTGTCAGCTGATGGTGCTGCTCCTTTTGCTGCTTTATAACCACCCACACACATAGATATAAAATGTATATGAAAAGTATATTATTATAATTCTATCTCAACAGATTTAATTCTTAAATGCTACATATACTTGTTTAATCTCTCATTTTAGAAGTAGGAAAGGTTAGATTATAACATCAGGTTAGCTCTCTTTGAAGCAGGTAATAATTAAGTTGATTCACTGTTGCAATTACTGTCAAATCCCCCTTAATTACCACGGATTTTATAGCAGCTTCATTATACGTCTGCTGTAATGCATTGTGGCCCAAAGGAGAAGTGTTGCAGGAAATTCTGCATAGCATGTATAATTCTAACCTGCAGTTAAAGCTTCTAGTGAAAGCCTCTGCACTAAATTTATCTTTTTTTGACACTTTCCCCCTTATTATTTAAGGCAGTTGAGCTGGAGTAACACCACTAAAATATACCCCTAACTTCCTAAGTGAAAATTGATCTATTCATAGGTATTAGGGATAAAAATGGAGAAATGATAAAATTAGCAGTGACTTATCCTTGGGAAACTGCTCAGCAACAATAAAGATCACTTCTGATCTGGTGTCATGGGGGGAGAAAACTTCTGTCCCATCCTGTGAGTCATGTACCCCTGAACATCCACTCCTCACTGGAGAAATCCCACTGAATACAGCTTTTAAGGCAGTAAGAATTTGCTGGAGCAGTCTGCTATCCATGAATATTTTCATCCATTGTTCCTTTTACATTTTAGAAAGTGAATTTTCAAAGCAACTCTCCTTTTGAACTGACCTTCCCACTAACTTTTGGAACAACACGGCCTCGTGAAACTGCTGCTTTATGGCTCATGTGTCACTGCTTGTTTCCATTGGAAAAATCTTTACAAATCAGGGGCTGTAAATTGAGCCTGCAACAGTTCAAAACAGATAACTGAATAATGTGTCCCATGGATTCTCTTGCAACGAAGGAATTTACTCCCCAGCATACATTAGATGCAGAAAGGGCTCCAGTGTCAGTGACACTATTGGCAGCTGTGTTAACAGTGAAGGAGCTGGCTTTGTACAGCAGCACAGTTATTAAATTTCTCCAGAGACCATGACTCATTAATCAAATATTCATACATCTCTGTAAATACACACTGAACAGAGAATACCCTCAGAGCTGAGCATCCCAGCACAAGTGCTCTTTCATGTCCCTCTGACAGAGCCCTGAGAACATGCGGTCATGTTTTGCATTTCTAATGCCGTGTGTGCTCCGGAGCACCCCGATCCCTAAAAACAGAACACAAATGATCTTACTGATCCCAAGTGTTACACAGGCACAATTAAAATTGCTTCACTATGGCTTCATACCATCCTTTTAAAAGTGAGGACAGTGAATCAATTCTTCTGTTCTTTGTTTACCATCAGACAAGTAACTTTTTCCCATACGGATGGAGAAACCCAAGGCCATGCTCCTATTAACACAAGAATTTGTATTAGCATGGAAACAACAAACCAATGGTTGGACTGGGAAGGCCAAAACACTTGATATATTTGCAAAGACATGAGCTTGGATTTAAAAAATGCCGTATTTTGTGTTCCCCTACTGCCATGCGGAGGCACATCTCACCTGCTCCAGGGCAGGCACAGACACAGCTGAAGTTTCAGCCTTGCTGAGGTTGAGACCATATTTCAGAGCTGATGCATCTCTGTGATCAGCTGAAGCTCTTCCCCATAAGCCTTTGAAACAATTCAGTTTTCTGTTGGAATTCCCCATCCTCATTCCTGTCCAGGACTTTGGTTTTGACTGTTGCAAGTTCTGATTTACTCTCCTGATTCAGGCTTGCTGTGGTTCATAAAGGTTTTTTTGTAAATGGGGATGAATGTAGGTTTTTAAAATTCTGTTGTGCTCTGCTGAACTCAGGGGAACAAGGGAATGGAAGGGAACAACCTGAGTCTTCAAGTCCAACTCACAAGAAGTGTGGTCAGCACAGAATCCCAAATGATCTTGGTAAGAGTAGGAGATTTACAGATAAATCCTGGAAAGAGGTGAGTCTAAGATTATATTCCTTTATAGTTTTTATAGGCTGGGACATAGAATTCACCCCTGGAACCAGTCCCTAATTACAGATTTTGAAGGGAAATTTGCATAAAATCCTTATTGCCTGGTTTAAGGATTGAACTCTGATCCAAAAATACTTCCTTTTTTAGTTCCCTTCCTAATAAATACAGATGCTCTCACATAAGCACCTCCACAGTTCCTACCACATTCATTTCAGTGCATTTTAATTTTCTTTAACAAGGCTTGACATTTACATTTTAGAAAGAAAATCCTCTCCTATATTTAATTAGGGCACTGATTGAGACGGGATGGCAATAACCTCCTGCCCTTCAGTGCAAGACAGAAGCCCCACC